CATCATCATCAAACAAAATTCCATAGAAATTCCTTTTTCTTTTTTTTTTATTTAACAAAATAACAGTTGGCACAGATGCACATTTTGCTTGACAACATGAGACAAGGAATTTGTTTTCTTTTACGTTTTGTGCTGGCCAGTTCCTATCTCCCCCCATCACAAGAATCATTTTTAACTTCTTGTCAAAGGTAAAAGTTAAATATCTTTTTTTATTTTCTCTACTATTTCTATTGCTTTCCCTCGCCTAATTTCATTTTTCTTTACACTCAGAGGGAAAATGAAAGAGAGAGAGAGAGAGGGAGGGAGATAGATAGGCAGAGATGGAGAGAGAGAGAGGAAGAAAAGAAGGAAGACAGAAAGAGGTTCGGCTCATGTGGAGTTCAAAGAACCTATCGGATATTGTAGAATTTAATGAAAACTATATAAATATAATATCTTGATGAAGATGTGGAGAGGAAAAAAAATGTTTCATGCATGTTTCATTTTGTATAAAATTTGTATAATGGTTGACAATGAGGAGTCTGTGGCTCATCAGCTGATATTAGGATTAGTCAATAAGCTTTGAACAAGAAGAAATTCAATTGGAACTATGTAGATTTCGGAGGGGAAATATAATTTCGATGGTCATTCGGAACTGACAGGATATCTCTATCTAATCGAAGGATAATCAAATAGTTATTAATGAAAAAATAATTTTTTGTTCTCTCATCTACCATTTTCTTCATTTTAGAAAAAAAAAGAGCTGCAGCAGAAGCAGCAGCCGTAGCATTATCTCGTCAGGTCAACGCCATCATGAAGAAGCCTTTCCATTATTTCAGACTTCCAAAATGCCAATTAATACATGTGCTAGACACATAATTAGTCCCACCGTTCTGATTATATGTACAAGCCTGTCTACATGCCAATTTTTTTCTTTTATTTTACCACACTCCAAACCATCTGTAGAGCTTGTGAGATGACCTAAGTAGCTGATCACTTAGCCATTTGGCTCTCACCTGAGCTCTTCTTCAGCCTTTAATGGCAACTTCTTATTGTTCTCATATATCTTTGCTACCTAGTAATCTTAATCCGAAGGTCACCCAGGTCATCTCTGTCGCATCTTCCGGTCCAGCCCTCAGTACGTAAATAGAAAAGAAGAGACAGTTGTAGTTTATTTAAGACCTTCATTTGCAGAAGCTTATTCCAAAAAAAAAACATAAAAAACTGAAATGCTACGACGTCTCTTATTTTATTCTGCGAAAGTTCATAGTAGAAGCTCAAAAAACGAAATATAATTGAAGACAACTTCAACATTCACAGTTCACTTCAGATAATGAACTCATTCTCATTGCCTCAAATGTACTCTTCGTTATGCAGCTTTGTATTCGGTACACAAGCCCTGTTCGTCGTGTTTTTTTTAATATTTTATTTTATTTTTATACTCATTTCATTCTCTCTCTCTTTCCCTCCATCTCTACCTCTCTCGCTTAAACAATTCCATGCAAATGCCACCTAAGCTTTTATGCTTTCTTCTTATTCAAACTTTCATTAAAATCTTATGTTTCCTGTTACGTACTTCCTCCACACACACATTTTTCCATTAAGTTTACAAATACATTATTTTAGTATTTTATTTTATTCACATCATCTTAGCTCATCAGTTGGAAAATGATTAAGACGGATCTAGTGTGTGTGTTGGATCAAAAGCTCACGTAATTTCGAATCAAAAATCTATTTTTGTGGACACAGATCGCTGGGATAATAATCTTTAGAAATTCCTTAAGACTTAGTAATATTCTTTATTAAATCATGTAGGAGTGAAAGAATATAGTCTTATGGATAAGGAATCCCCTGTTATCCTCAAGATAGATTAGGATAGTACGGAATAGATAAGGGGATAACAAAACGTTTTCCTCTTTCTTTCAACCATTTAGATATATTTCTGTTGAAAATGCTTGAAACTCATTGAAGGAGAAGGAAATAAAGAGAGAGAGGTAGATATATAGAGAGAGAGAGATATGTATATAGATCAGATAGGGAGGGAATGCACATAACAGAAAGAGAGATAGAGAGAAAGCAAATGAGTGAGAGATGAGTTCAAGGATGGTTGAGATGAATGAAGACGAAAGCATGACTGAATGAAATGAAGAGAAACAAAAATATTTTATTCCCTTCTCTTGTATTTTTATTCTAATTTTCATGTTCAAAATTAATGCCTCTTTTTACGTGAGATCACGTCATACACGCGCTGCTAAAACTTTATTTTTAAAGTAGCAAATGCAGAGAGCGGTTGATCTTTGTCAGTTTCCACATTTGGTCATTCGTACTTTCTTTTTTAGTCTGCCTCAAAAATCTTCCTCTTCTTTTTTTTTCTTTTGCCCTTAAATGGATCACAATAACCACGTGGATAAATGCAATTTATGTCTCGACTGGCGTCATCAGAATGTGAATGGTCAACGCGAATACTTACAATGAGATGTTGCAAATAAGGCAATCCTCAGATAGTTTATGTAGCATTGAGAGGGTAAGAGAGAAACTCTTGTATGAGAGATCGCTTTAACCTAAGAGAGAGAATACTGTCATATATGTCTACAATGACAGAGAGAGGGAGCAGAAGAGATATAGAGTATTTGAGAGAGAGAGATGGAAAAAGAAAAAAAAAGTTTTATGAAAAGAAAGGTTCTTTCACGTGATTTGACGCAATGACGTCACAAGTATATTATTCAAATTTTAAAAGATTCTATCTTCATGAACTTGCAAACCATAAAGTCATCAGAAGTATGAAGAACTAAAACTACTTCACAATAACATCTCTCTCTCTTTGAATGTTCAAAGTGCTGTGAAGACTGAATGAGAGGGAGCGAAAGTATGATAGAGAGAGACCAACGTGACTAAATTCCATCAAAATATTTGATAAAAATGAAACATTTGGCCCGGAAGAACAAGCTCTGATGACATCGTTCATTGCGTTTTCAAAAGGAATTGGAAAGTGTTTTTGAGGAAAGTTGCATCAGTTGCAAGTATGTAAATTTCCTATCCATATAAGCCAATTCCAGCACTCTCTATTTCACACTCTTTAAACCTCTCTCTATCTGTATATCTACGTAGTTGCTGGCTTTCATCTATAGTCTCAAAAATGAATATAGACATTGGGTGAGAGACAAAAACTTTTTGAGAGAAAAAATCAAAAATAGTTTTAAAAGCTTTCTGATCTTTCTCCTCGGCGAAAGGCATATCTCCAAAGTCATTTGATATGCAAATTGATATGAAATTGAAGTTCCAAAAATTAAATTTAAGCCATTTCTAATAAGACCTTAAGATTACATATTACACCTCCTCTCTTTCTCGGCTTCTGCTCAACATGGACTTATAGATAGAAATGGTTAGAAAAGTTATACATCTTACCTGCAGCCTATTTCATTTTACTCTTTTCCTCTCCCTCGCACTTCCATACATCGTCTCATTCTCTTTTCACACACTTCACACTCTCAGTCTCTCACATATTTTTTTTTCTTTTCTACATCTCCCACTCAAGCAAAGCTGCTTAAACTAAAAGAACATTTGATTTTGACTGAAATAAGATTTGATCACTCATTACGCTGACCACAGCTATCGTCACACAGCCAAAATGAAATTGCCCTTTAATAGAATTTTTTGCTCAAATAAATCCACATTAATATTTTTTGAACCATTAATTTACAATGAATATCTCGATCTGTACATTGATAAGCTTTGTATTTGAAGCTTAACATACGGTAAGAGCTCCGCCCCCTTTCAGATTCCTTTTAAGGGGGAATTATCATCGAGAACACAGAAAAAGCTTCATCAGCTCTACTTCTGTTTTTAGAAAAACTTTCATAGCTCTTCCAGCTGTCATTCATATTCTGCTCGTCGTCACATAGACACATCGTTTCAAGTATCCGTGTGAGTTACAGTTCATTTTTGTTTTTCCAGGAAATTTTTTTTTTTGAAAAAAAAAAAAAATTCAAATCATCTGCTTGTCAGGCGAAAAAACGGAATTAGTTTTATTTTTCCAATTAATTTAGTCATTTTTTCTAAATATTTTTTATATTAAATAGCCACAGCGTGGGTTCATCATGAAATAACGAACTTGACGCGAAACAATGATGAAAAGCTATTCAGGGGTTTTAGGGAGATGTTTAATGAAATTTTGCTCTAAACAGATAGATCTTAAGCTAATTTTATATTCATCAATGCTATATATGGAAGTATTTCTTCTGAGCTTCATCTGTTTCAAACTCAAATTAAGCAAGCTCCAATGTCAAAAGCTCAAAAGATTACTCACTTTCTCTTCCAACCGTGGGCGTTTCTGACTTTTAAATTTTTCAAAAAGAAAAAAAGATTTTAATATACCTATTTGACTATACAAGCTAGAACCTTTTGAAAGGAAAGGAAAAGCTTAACCTTTGAATATCTCATGTAGGCTCACGCTTTTCGGATGACGGCCGAACAGATGCCTTTTCCTAATAACATGCAACTTTCTTTCTCTCTCTCAATCTCCATCTCCTCCCACCTTTACCGAATATGCACTTTTCACCAAAGATTAGACGTTAACATTTGAATTTGAACGTAGCGTTTCTAGTCTGTTATGACACGAGTGAGTCTGTGACGCTGTTCAGAACAGAAGTTTCTGAAGAAGTTCCTTCTTATTCATAACGTCTCTCTTTCACTCTTTCTCTATGAGCATTTCAAATTTTTCTTTTTTGCACCTCTACCTCTTTCCTTCCTCTACCTTCTATATAAGAAACGGATCTTAACCGGGAGTTCCCAATAAGATTTTACAAAGACTAATATCTAGAGAGCAATTTCTGCGTGACTGCTCGTTTAGCCAACCAATGATCGCTCCAGGTATAGTCACAGTCACTGTGCTTTCTCTGGTTAAAGACGCAAGTAGTTCATCACGCGACTTATTTATTTGTTATTTTTATTTCCTTGCTCCGGATTGTGCCTGAGCTAACGAGAGAAAAAAAATAGATTGTTTGTTGTTAACGAGCTTCTTCAGGTAGCTGTGAAGAATACAGCTGCCATCTTCATTAGTCAGTTCATTAGTCAGTTACTAATATTCAATTATTCCGAAAATGGTCTTCGTTTCAGTTTAGAAGTGGCTAATTTCCGTTTTTGGTGAAGCTAATTTTAGTAATATACATAGGAAATCTATATATAGAGTAAAGTAGTAAAACTGACATCTTAAAGTCCCCTCCCCTCTACCCCTCCTCCACCCCTTCATCTTGCCACACACACACAAAAACCTCTTATGAGCTTTTTTAATTGTTTAACAAAGTTTGTTAGTCAACTGCTCCTATTTTTTTCTAAAATTACTTTTCGAAAATGTGATTGGCTGTTTCACCATGACATGGGAGGAGTGAGAGAGAGAAATGTCAAAAAAGGTAAAAAACCTTCTTAACGAATAACACACAGATTAAACTGCTTAATCTCTCTATGCATTCCCCCCCCCCCCCCCCTTCCTCTTACGCAAATTCAATTCAGACACTTTTGTGAAATTGAAGATGTTCTAAAAGGAAAACTCCAATCTTATATGGCAGTTGGATAAGAGAAAACAAACCAATTTTCAGCTTTGCAGTCTACATCCTCCTCCCTCTCTTAACAAATGAACCGATGATTTCATTTATAATCTTTCTTGATCACAAAAATTAATCTGCCAAAACTGTCAATTTCATTTGCAAAGCTTTTTGTACTCTTTCCATAAGTTTTCTCACAACATCCATTATTTCAACGGCTTCCTATGCTGCCTTTCTTTTTCCTCCTTCTAGTTGTTCGTTGGAGTATTTTCAATGTCGTCACGTCATTCTTGACCTCAACTAGATCCCAGGTGCTTGCTATCGCCATTCACACTTGCCAAAGGGCTACACCTATCCATTGCTAAGAGCGACTTCTAACATCAGATTGATGACATACTCAACTTCTGCTCCATTTGGAGAGGCGAACTGAGGACCAGATTCTCAAAAGATCTGACACTCTATGCGCAATATCTTCGAAAAGAATTTCGCAATGGCTGCGTGTAAGGTCAACGTCAACCAGCCTGTTGCATCATCTTTCGTTCGTCATCTTCTCTCTCGTGTGCGTTGTCAACAACCTCATCATAATTCTGATCTTTCAGACATCAGCAGTTCCTACGAGATATCCACGAGGCTTCATCTACATTTGATGAGTTTCGAGGAGCAAATTCTCTTTTTTCTTTTCTATTCTTCTTCTTCTTCTTCTTCTTTCCATTCCTTTTTTTTTCACTTCATGTTGTCATCTGAGAATACAAAAAACCGCAAAGCATAAAGATAGAGATTAATAATCCTCTTCTTTGTTTTTTTTTTCTTTTTCAATTGTACCGTCTCTGCATGTAAAATGATGAAAATATTACTCATTGTAGTTCATTTTGCTCAGCCTTTTCCGCCTTGCAAAGATTCAAAAATATGACGTTGTATTCGAAAATTAATTCATTTTTCCCGGATTCTCGTCATCTATTAATTACACAGCAACCACGAAGCTTTCCGATATTCTGGTAAGCTTTTCCATAAGCGGAAGTAGTAACTGGTAGAATCATTACCGAAACAGAGTTATGAAGACTTGTTGGAAGTATTGAAATGACTGTTAATATAACTTTCTCATAGACTTTTTGTCCTTTCATCTCTTAACTAATCATCGTTTCCAAGCTCGTTTTATATTCTCTTCTATGCTAGTAAAAGCTAAGCTAGTAACGAGAGGCGGGACTTCATCCATAAGTTCTTTCTCAGTGCGTTCAGTAGATCAAAACAAGAACGATTTGGCAGCTTTACATCATCGAATCATTATATGCTCGTATATGATTGCTTTATTAGCTAACGCTCAAATTCTTTCTGCCTTTTCTTGCTTCATTTGAATAAGGAAAAATTCGTCAATGTCTTTATCGACAATAATCCTGTTCAAAGTTGTTGTCAGTTCCATTTTGGGCAAGCAGCTTCATCTGCCTGTTTCATCCTCGTATTCATCAGTATTACAAAATGAATCTCTTCTCGTTCACACACCTGCTTTATTTCAGAATACACAGGAGAGGAGAGAAAAAAAGGTTTTCAGCCTCTTTGTTTTGTCAGTAAATTGTGAATTCTGAAGATTTCGCTAATATTTTGGAAAACCAAATGACAAGACAGGAGCTAAGAAAAAGAAATCTAGCAAGTCCGTCTCAGCAAAGCTATTTTGTCAACAGAGCAAAAAGAATTCATAACAACATCTGTGTGTTTCCTCACTCTGTGTTACTTCTTTTGTCAAATTTGTTTGTCATATCCATTATGCTTTAAAAATCTCATATGAACTTCTCTACCGTCCAAATGAAATTTGGATGTGCAAACGAAAGACATTTTCTTTCATTCCTTTCAGGCAGAATGATGCTGACAAAAAAAAATGAAAAAGAATATCATTTTTGTTTTCAATGAAGAAAAAACTACCAAAAAAGCTAATTTCCATATCTAGTTCATATCCTTTTTCGTTCGAATGCACTTTTTTTTTCTCTCCAAAATTCATTTCCTGTAGTATGACGAGATAAAGCTTAAGAACAGGGTGTGAAGAAGAAACCCAACCGATCGGTGCAGTAATATGCATATGAATGACGTGGGCGCTTCACGTGGTTCACACGTAATCGCTTCTCACGCATCTGATGCTAGTATAGCTGTGCTCTTTACTACTTACAATCATTGTTCAAAATAGTCATACATATCAATCCGAGGCTTATCGTTCTCATTTCGATCTGAGCCTATCCTCTATAATGACTTTTTGAGGCCTACTTTAATCAGTGGTGGGCGCAATAATTTTAGAAAATCGTCCTCAGCAAGATTAGCTATTCGACATTATTCCTTTTCTTATTGTTAACGTCACGCTTATGTTTACATCATTGAAATGTTCTATTTTAAATTCCTAATTCGAAAGCTTAACTCTGAATTTCGAAAGCTAGAACTGAGATCATTCAACTCTCGAAGGCAGATCTACATGAAAGGGCGGAGCAAGGGGCGGCGCCCGATAGCCGGTCGTTTCAAGTGAGAGAAGAGCTGAATGGGAATCAAAGAAAGTAAGAGAGAGCGAGGATGTGTGCTTGTGTGAGCGAACAATTTTTCAAATTTTTAGTAAACTATTTCATATATTTAATGATAAGTTTTGAAGTGAGAGCTTTGAGACGACAAAGCTCGAAGGGAAGACATGCATGCTTTAAGAGATCTCTTCACCTGTTCGCACTTTCTATTATTTCTTGAAACATACATATGTCTCTCCTATTACTTTCTTCATTACAATCTCTCCTTTCGTGTTATTTATCTTTTCAATGTGACATTTGCTGCAATCCTTACTGTTGTTTTTCATTTCTTCGTCTTGTCAATATATTTCCAACATATATATATAATGCTATCTATATACTATATATTTCAGGTAATATATATAATAAAATGATGTTTGTTGTTCTCGTCCTTCTTTCCATTCTCGCTCAATCAGCAGCATTAACGTGTTTTGAGACCGATGAATCGGTAAGTTCTTAGCTATATATGAAATAGATTACAGAAAATACCATTTCGAAACGTTTCGTTACGATCAGCCACATGATGACCATTCATAGATTTTCTTCTCAATTCTTTGAGACCTCTTTTGCCATTTCGAAAAACTTCATCATCGTTTTTTTTCGACTACTCCCACGCTGCCAAGTAAAAGGCGTAAGGCTTAAAAGCAAGTTAACCCATCGTGGTCTTTTCAATTAGATGCCAAGCTGATATAATGAAAGCAATGCATTTCGTTGCTTTTCTCTCCATTCTCTCTAAATATATCTTTCTCTATATATCTCATTGCGTCTGAATGATTGTCTTCGTTGACCTACGCTATATTGAGTTCAAAATGCCCTTTGGGCAATTTGGAAATTACAATTTTCAATTTGAACAACGGAAATGATGGGCGATGACCCCCATATTCCTAGAAAAAGTTACGTAACAAATAGAGAAGCAAAAGGCATCAATAGAGAGAGAGTGAGGAAGGATTGTGAGTCTATTATGGTCAATGACATATTCTAATCATAAAGCTATGACCAAAGTTAGAATACGAAAGTTCCTTATGGCATCTTTGGAATTTGTCCTCGCTCCTTAGATTATCTGATTTATCTGATCGTAAGGATAAATAAGAAATTAGTTTGATAACGGAGAGAATTGTTGATGATGTCATTAAAGGTGACATCATTAATATGAGAAATCGAGGTGATCTACGAATGTGCGCATTAAGCTGAATTCTTCACAACGCAGACAGAAACTCTACTGAAATTTGAAATTTTTTCAGACCGGTGAAATCAAAGAAGTGACAAATGACGAATGGAAATATTGCGTTTTCATCCCGCAAAGCAATCAACTTATAACCCGAGTTTTCGGAGTCGGTCAGTTCTAAAGTGAAAAGCTTTCAACTTCATCAGCATATGCTTTTAAGGTCCTGAGGAAGATAGCACTTACGTATATGAAAATTCATTTAAACAACAAGATAACTTCTACAAAGTTCTCACAGTCTGTATTTACGAGGTGAATTTTAGTTCAACGAACGTTAAGAGTATAGATGATCTGTGTTTTGCACAAATTTTTTTTCAAAAACATAAATTGAATTAGACTGTTAAGAACAGTTTGTAAATCGCTTTCATTTCAGAAATTCGATTTACGACCTCTTTCTCCACGATTTGCCGGACCTGAATTCCTGTTTCGTTGCATGTGCAACTACGACCGATGCAATTCTCATCAGACGTTCTCAGGTTTCTTAGCCGGCGTCGAGAGGGATAATCGCGATTAAACCATTAGAATGAATGATATTTCTGTGATTACCGTAGTTTGAAGTTATAACTACTCGATGAACATTCAGAGAATCTCCAAGAAAAAAAATTTCTTTTTTTTTTTTTTCGTTGAAAATTTATCTTTTTTTTTTTCGAACAACCACACACACACACACATACAAATTGCGACGACAAGAATTGGCTTTCTATATGAAATCTCTTTTATTGTTATTATTATATATTTAATCAATTTTATAAGGTTTTTAATTATATTTATTATGTTTGTCCGGTTAGAATATACTGTTCGGACAATAAAAATCTCTTTCGTTCGTCCTCTTCCTTCGTTGTCCTTCCCTCCTAGCCTCCCTTCTTGCATCTCACCCCTTCCACTTCTCTCACTCTCTATATCTCTCCTCTCTCGTATTGTTCTCAACCATTTATCTGATATCATTTTTCTATTTTTGAGCTTTAGACAGACGCATGTACTCTCTTTCAAGATATATTTTCAACCTAAAAAAATTTACAAAAAAAAAGCTTTTTTTTTTTTTGATCTTTTCATCATCAACAAACACAGCATTACAAGAGAATCTTGAGATATCATCAAGGTTCAAACTTTCAAACATCATCTTCTCTATTTTCAAACACAAAATGCACATTTGGATGATGAAAAAAGATTATATCTGAGTTGTAGCTCAGTGGAAATTCTCATTTAACACCACACACTCACACTCACATACACACACACACACATATATCACACAAACTACACGAAAATTGAGTTTTAGAAAAAAAAGAAAAAAAAACAAAAAAAAGAGAAGAAGAATAGAATCAGTTCATTTTTGATTTGTGTCTAGATGAAAGCCAATTCTTAGATTTTCTGAATGTTCATGAGCTACAAACCCGCATACCGACACAAATTTTAAATAAATATCTTGCAATTTCTTATTTATTTTGTTTGTAATCAAAGAGAGTGAGAAAAAAAAATAATCTTTTCGTCACTTCTTTGTTAGGACTACAAAACCAAATATTCAAATTACGGTAACTTAGATCAAGCTTAATATGTCTTCATTCTGTGCATTGCCTTTGTATTCAGGCTATTTACAAGAAAATAAAGTCTCATTTTGAAAATAAAAAAATGTTTTTTGCCTTTCCTTCTCATTGTCTTGTCGATGTTCAAATCTGATGTAGTGTCGTGATTATGAGAAGAACAGAAGATGTGCGACGAAAATCTGGCTAATTTTCAAGCGCAAATTCTCCTTAACGAGCGAAGAAAAGTTCAGAAGGAGCAGAACTATTGAGGAAATGGTAAGTTCAAAGGGTTCTAGCACGTATTGACCTTCACCCAATGAGCCAAACGAAGCTTCAATCAAAGTGTTTTGTTGAAGAAAGCAGTTAGCGTTAAGAGGTCTATGAGCGTATATGGCTGAAGCTTAAATTGTGTGTTTGTTGTCAGTTCTTATCTTCCATAATTGTTTTCAGTGTCTGATCAATCGTGAAGAGATCAGAAGAAGCTTTCTTTTTAAGTTTTTACCCAAAACACTCTCACACCCACGATGCCCTTCTTTCCCAAACCCCAAACATATTTGGAACGATTAAGCATATTCTAGTCAACACCGTTTTCAGGTTGAAGATGCTCTCTAGCATGTTCAAACGTTTTTTGGTTTTAAACGTAAGAACTTGACTGTTTAAGAAAACATATTGAAATTTCATCTCACCTGCTCAAGTTGTGGCCATGTGATTCCGGGTAGAAGACGAACTTGATGATATAGGAGGGAATGTAACAGCAGATGAATCTGCTTCTCAGCTGTTACTTCACCATCAAGCTGGCCAAGTTTTCTAAATCTCCGACGATGGTACATCTCATGTAAAATCTGAAAAAATGAACAAAAAAATGTTTTCGTTACTCCATCCACGTCAAAAACATTTGAGATTCTATGCCTCAGACTAATATGCTTCTGGCGACAGTTTGAGTTTTCTAAATTTTTCATGAAAAACTTCGAAATTGAATAGAAATGTCGACTTTCTTCTATTTTTTCATCCAATGTTGTACTTCTTACGAATTACGGTTATAAATAAATAATTACTTTAGAATCAAAACATTGGCAGAGAGACAAAAGAGGTAGAAGAATGAAGGTTTTGTTATGTTAAGGGAAAATGTCTAAAATGACAATTGTGTGTGTTCGAACCTTGAATTGAGGTGAGTAGGGCTGGAACTGTTGACAGGCAATCACCATTAAGTCTCGAAAGCTCTTTGGACGATAAACAGATGAGATGCACATGGCACGATCCTGAAACAATGTCAAATAAACACATTTGTTATTAATTTAATTATGTTAGAATTTTGAAATATTTTTTCAATCAAAACCTCTGACGTACATAATTGAATTGGCCTTTCACTTATAAAATCTCGTGGCTCGTGCTTTGCATATTTGGCTGTCAAAAGCATCTCAGAGTTTTGGTTCTACTTTTCAATTGAAAAATGAAATTATATTATATACATATCTATATATATAGTTAAAACGTGTGAGACGTTGAAATCGCATAAAATTGGCTTTTAACTAGTTTAGTTCTCATACTTGTATATATCAATTATTCTTTTTTTAGAATCGTAGGTGGAGATATACTTATATAATAAAATTATTTTAACCTTAGCTCGATGAACGGGAGTGTTGGAATCCATTTCCCAATCTAATCCTTCAATTTGTAATTTTGTCTCGAATTCTGTTGGATTATTACATCTGCAAGGGAGGGAAAATATTTTTCAAATTAAAAAAAAGGGGAAAAGTCTCTTACCGAAGTCCTTCATCTTCATACCATTCCATACTCACGTCTGTTTGGGCTATTGAAATGTTGTCTGCTTCTCTTAAAGGATTTAGCCTGAATATTCAATTTGAAATGAACCAGTAAACTCTGAAGATCAAGAGTACCTTGGATGACCGACAGATCCTTCTTCACTCGACATAAGGTCTGTTCCAATTGCCGAATCGAACATTGACAAGCCGTGAGAGCTGTAAATTCTTCCGTTTACTGAATAATTCTTCATAATAATTACCTTTTCTTTGATTGAGTACTTCTGGATAAAGCACTATCAGTCATTAGATTACTATTGGTCGTTGAAGTACAAGGCTCATCGGGCGAGAAGTTCCAGAGTCTAAATTGGTGTTTAATGAGATATTTCTGTACCCTGCAGCATTACCCAGTGATTTCAGGCTTTTTCCTCTTAAAAGATTTTACTCGGGAAGGACTGTTGTTCGAAGACCCCGTTTCTGATCCAAACTCACTACTAAAAACATATCTAAGTTGAAGGATAGGTATGAAACATGACTAACCCCGCAACAAGACTTGAATACATATATTTACTATCTGTAAGGCATTTGATATGGCTTAATTGAGTTTCTTCTTCTTCCTCAATCGAGTTCTCATCATTTCCGTAAAGGACTTCATCAGGTACGTCTAAGCCTGATGTCATCGACATTACCTATAATTTATTATTTTTGTTAATATCCTTTTCAAAACAACACTGACATCATCAAAAATTGAGCATAAATCTCCAACTGATGCAGCTGGGATTGGATTTTCTGAATTGGAAATAGATTGTTCCAACCGATACCTAATTGGTTGAATAGCAGTTGAGGTACTTGGCTCTGAAATTAAACTATTAATTGCTTTTTGTTGGTCTTCTTTCAACCATTGGCAAATTCATCTTCCCAATCTTGTCCGCCTTCCCAAACTATTTGTAAAGACGCTGATCGTTCAGAATTCGTCGGGGATGCAGATCGTTCAGAACTTTCTGTAAGACTCAAATATGTATCAATTAATACAAAATGAATAGAATTAATAGTTTTGATATCATTCACCGTATTGGACCAAGAAAAGATAAAATATAAAAATTAACTTACGTGAACTTGTCGTCGTACTTCTTCTGCTTAGAACGCCTTCTCTTGGTTTATGAGCATGTCGTAATGAGAAAAGACCTTTCGCTCTTGTGGATGCACGAACTCTTGATGATCTTGATATCTTGAAAATGAGAAAAATCAAAAAATCAAATATCACTGATATAACAGTACCTGACTGAGAGATTTACTTTCTGAAACTCTGGATCGAAATTCTTCCACACTAGCTGCATCTCCTTGATCATTACATGCATCTTCTTCATCATCATTATCATCATCAATTTCTTCTATCCTTAAGCTGCCATCATATGGTATCTAAAAATGGAATAATTATCGATCAATCATTTCATTAACCAAAGTTCTGAATTAGTTCAAATATGGAGAGATTTCTGATTGGTTTTGACAGTTACAAGGGCACCTCCTATCATTTGGATGGGATATGTGCAGACAGATGGACATGAAAGGATCACAAAACGAGGTGATAAAAGAAATTTTACTAAATATCTTAATGTCTTTGTGTATGTCGTCAAAACGGATATGATATGTCAAAACAAAAAAATATATTTTCAATGTTGAACTGATTTGAGCGACTTATGATGGATTAAGGGACATATGACTGATCACATATTTTCGATGAAAAATTATTTTAAAAATGTTTTTTTTTACTTTTCTCTCGGATATTTTCTAGCAGACCACATGGCCATTATTTGAAGGTACGGATTTGGCAGCTATCAATACGGAACAGATAGATTTGATATGTGGAGATTATGGGACATATATGTATAAAACTCTTCATGAGAGAAAAAAAATTTCAAAAAAAGTTTTTTTTTTACTTTTCTCTCGGATATTCTTTATCAGACCACATGGCCAAAATTGAAAAGTATGGATTTGGTTGTTGTCAATGCGGAACAGATAGATTTGATTTGTAGAGAAAACAACTAGAGATATTCTGATCAGATAACACAGAGGTTGTATCAATAACCATATCATATAGTTTATATAGTAAAGAGATGGATCAGTAGAGGATAGAAGATTGAGGACATAAAAAATGCAAAGGAACAAATATAAAATAAATAAAATAAAAAATAAACAAGCTAATTGAAACTTACATTGCAATCGTAGAGAAGACGACGATCAGCTGTTGGTATGGAATCGGTTCGGGATGATTCCAGTAGCATCCATACAAATCTAGAATTGAATGTTTTTACTCAGCAGATATCAGTCAGTTACCTTCGGCCTAAAAAGTTTGTACATATTCGGTAAGCACAATATGAGCCAACACCAGCAACTAGTAGAACACCACTTGTTCTCGCTGAAAGTAGAAAGCATGATTTATGATGATGAACAACAGTTGAGCTTTTTTGATACAAAACTCTCTCTTCACCTAATAAATAACTCAATCCCTTACTAATTTGTAATTTTTTTCGCGTTGATCGAACTTTCTTTCCTTCAAGATTTTCAATTTTGAAGTTAAAATTGAAGCAGCTGCTTCATGCTATTCATAAAAACCATAAAATAGCTATTCGAAGTCTTCATAATAAAGAAAAGCTTTAGTTTTTATGAGCTTTTCTTCGAGAAACAATGATAACTTTTGCAAAAATATTCAAATCGTCACGTGGATCTTTCACGTCAATAAATATCATTTTTAGTTTAACTCTGACGATGAGCGGTTGATTCATTCTCGTTTATAGGATCAAATCATACTTTGCATGATGATAACGGTCAGATAGTTGGTTCTAAACCCTTTTTTTCAAATTGAAGTTTACGAATGTCTTCTTGTTCTATTCAAAGAGTGCTTGGAGAAAAAATGTTTGATGAGAGAGGAGTTGCAAAAGAAAGTTCGAAGCTGGAAAGAAGAACAAATAAACCATTGAGCTGTTCTAACTATCTGCGTGAATGGATGCTAGTGGACTAGGTAGAACGTCAAACGACAGGTTTAACAGGATTCGGTGAGAAAAAAAAAGGAAGAATGACCGTTTATTTGTGTATTATACTATATGATATAGTTAAGATGGAACAAATCTCATATGTAAATATGCGAATGCAAAGTAGCATATCCGATCTATTCTTTTCATCTCTTCACACCAAGCAGATAATTTTTAGGAAAACATTTGAGAGTACTATATGCAACTTACTGAAATTAAATAATTGAAAGTTAAACTTGATCACTATACGCATATTCTATTCCTCATCTAAGCCATGAATCTACCATCTATGATATAATTAAACAGGGTTATTCGAAAATCCAAATACGAAGAAAGAGAAAGAGGACAAGTGATTGTAAAAGTCTTTACAGCAAATTCCTCAAATATGAGAAATGAACGATTCGTAACGTAACAGTTGTAAATCTATTGATCTATTGGCCAAAAAAGGAGTCAGTAAATTCAAATTTTGAGAGTAAAAGAACAGTTTTTGATATTTGTCCAACTGGTTTTTATGAATGTAAAGGTCATTGTAAATGATTTGTAAGAGGAAAAATGCTCAAAAGAAACTTCTGAACGGAACAAATGCTGAGCTGTAAATCGATAAGAGATGAGGAGAAGCATGGAAGAAAGCTGATACTAAGCAGCCAACCTTTTTTTTTTTTTGAAAAAATTCCAAACAAAAATAGATGACCTTCGGTTGAATCTATGTATAACATGTACTCATGCCTAAGAATACAACTGTTCTGGAATTACAGAAGAGCAATCGATTCGTCGTTATCACAGTAAGCTTCTAGTGTGATAAGCAAAAGTTCTCAAAAACTAAAATAATCAATGAGAAGAAATGATTCTTCATCAGCAGTACCGATTTACGTCAAATGAATGCAAATAATCGCAGGAGCACTTCGTCAAACTCATCGATAACGATGAGATTTTTAGCAAAAAAAGAAAAAAAACAGATAGAAAGAGCAAAAACTGTGTAAAAGATGTTTAAGTCCATGTAAAGCAATGTTACAAACAATATAAACATGAAATTACCTTTGAGGATTGTTCGACTGTTGACAAATGGAGTGAAAAACGATAATACAACATCCGAATTATAAATATTCACGTCGATTTCGGCTGCGTCCATGTAAAATATTTGAAAAAGAACGAAAAATCGATTTTAAGATGCTTAGGATCAGCTGGACGTCACAGTTGGTACGATCCTCCTCCTTCTTAAAGCATCGGAAGATGACGGCAAAGTTCAAGAACAGAACACAGTAATGCGATATTCAATATTGAATGACTATGATGATCTTCTAATGATGTCAGTATTTGAAGAAAGAAGTTTTTTTAGTGAAATATGTTGAAAAGCTATTGCACGTGGAGGCAAAGACTGAAGTGAGTGTGTATGACTGAATGGAAATTTAGATTATATGAGGTCATATGTGATAAACGGAGACGAAATATGGAAATACGACAAACAAAGTGAAAGCAAAAGCTAAATGGGATTATCAAAGGAAAGTTTTTTTTCCGCTTATTTCCATGTTTTTAGCTAATTTCTTCAGTATCGGTATGATCAGCAAGTACGGAATCAATGAATTCGGCAGTCAAATGGCGGAATGAAGAGAGAACTAGAGAAGGTGGATGAGCGGCAATGAGAAAAAAGAAAGAGAGAGAGGGATAGATAGAGGGAGGAAAAGAAACATAAAGAGAGAGAGAGTTGCAGAAGGCGGAGCAACAGATGGTCAGATAGAAGACAAATGACTGTGATTCTTCAGGAGACACGTCGACGATAGAAGAATATGAAAGAAGAGAAAAAAAAAGTTTTTTTTCACGCGCCTTGCAGAAGAAACATGTCTTTTACGACAAAAAATAGTACAATAATCATGTATTTTATGGATAGAATAAATTATTTTTTCGTTAAGTTAAGAGATTCATCGTTCATCATTGACTTCTTCAGGTTTTTCGGTATCAGAATCAAGGGAAGCCGCTCTGCCAGATGATTGATAATAGATTCCATGAAAGGCTGATGCCGAAACGAAATAAACAAAAAAATTCTTTTTTTTTATCCTTGTACATATTCTCAAAACCAAACGAATAATTATTTTTCGGCTCTAAATGATTTGGTTGGAGAAGAGACTTATGTCTGATAGCATTGTGGGATAGGTAAAGAGACTAATGGACTAGAAGCAAATCGTTCCAATGAGTAAATACTTTTGAAAATCAAAAAAAAATTTTTTTTATTGTAACGTCTTCTTCTCGAAAGATTCAAAAAGAATTTTTTACGTTTCTTATCAGTCAACACAAATGTTTTCATTACAGTTTCAATTTACTATCATAAATGCTGAAGGCAAGAGCAGCATCATATACACAGAAAGAGAGAGGAAGAGAGAGAGAGAGAGCATGATTAGAAGTGAACGTGAAAAATAAAAATAAAAAAGAATCATAAATGACGCCGTTTCTCCAGATTGTCAACCTGAGTTCGACTTTTTGGCTGCTTACTATAAATAGTATAACAAGAATAAAAAAGAACTGAAGATGATGATCAACAACTAGAATGAAATTTAATATGCTGAAAGAAGTTCTTTATGACATTTGAACTCAGTTAGCCTACGAGCCAGCTGACCATTTTGAACACTTTTGATTGGTTGTCAACTAGTGATTGTAATTCAATAAGTTTATAAACTTCTCTCTTAAACTTTAGCATAAATAAGATATTCTATGTGAGGCACAACCGTTCACCGGCCTGTTCGAGAGCACAAAATGATTAGCTTATACGTCATAGTAACGCCTTCACGTCCGTTTTACGTGAGAAATTAGAATAAGCAGCAAATAATCAATAGATATAAGATGTGATGAGAAGCTTCTTACTGAGAGAAAATTGTAATATTCATAAGTTTTCATCCTTTAACTACTTTACAGCCTTAGATTGGAGAAGAGAAAGAGACAGAAGATCGTTTTAGGTCTACTCTTCATTACACCAGCCCTCAATTATTTTATTTCTGATGAGATTGAAATGTTGCAATTAGTTCATCAGGAATTAGCTGCTGCTGAACGAAATACTAGTGGAATGAGAAAAATAAAATGAATTCAGAGATTCATATCATCACTATAAGAGGGAGAACACTATCACAGTGATTATATGATAGCTCTGGGAAGTCAATTAGTTGGAAACAGTTTGAAGTAATACGAATAAGAAGTTTGACAGATGAGATAACAACGAGATTGGAACGAAAGAAGGATGAGAGGATATTCTATTCGAGTTTGTAATTTTATCCAAAAATAATTGAAGAACTTAAGTGCTCATCACTTTCTCAATACAAATATTCGATTTTAAGAACTTTATGAATGCGAAGAGCTAGAGATAGCGTCAAAACAACGAAAAGAAGGATATTCTAACGACCCCCAGCACATACTTAAACACACAAAATGTTCAATAGTCTTGCATAAAAACATTTCAAATACATATAATTATGGTTATAAATATGGTAAAACTTACAAAATAGAGCAACACTGCATTCCGGAGCTTCAATACTCAAGCCGACTTGTGATATGACCGCTGACGATTGCGCTAACATACGAGCTTCCAGGAATATCATTCCGGGAAATGTGTTAATAGGTAGAAGTGACATATTGTATTTAATGAAAATATAATATTTTCATCAATAATAAACAGTTATATATCTAGAGCTTAATACTGTGCGTACTGCCCATAGATCGAACCGGCAGCACTGTTGTCCACTTCACAGCCACATCACAAACTGCAATTTGAAGACATTTTTGGGAGAAAAAAAAATTTTTCGAAAAGCAAAGACAAATAAATGAAAATCAAAAGTTAAACAACAACGATATATCGATTGGATAAGCATGCACAAAGTACAAAAAGGTTATAAGTATGAAAATTAACTTTTAGGAACAATAAGAAGAAAAACAATTTGAAAACAGAATGTCATAGTTATGCAATAACATAGAATAGGAAATGAAAGTGTTTTGGTTGTCCATTAGATGTCTCAACATGTCCCGAGGGCTTTTTCGAAATAGCCTGTGACTCTTCTCTTGCAGTAAATTGATCGTCTAACAATACTCTCTTTCTATTTCAATTCTCTATCAATCCTTTTCAGGCAGTGCAGTGTCGTCAACTAAATCGTTTGTTTTGTCATTTTAATTTTTCTTTTTTTTTTGTTTCCTTTTTTGTGGTTTCATTTGATTGTCAACCTCATCTTGCTACAATATAAAATATGTGAATCATCGATTAAGCAGTTTGCTCAAAGAATCATTCAGACATCATACAAGACAGTTTGAAATAGATAGCACAACGAAATACAACGAATTTAAAGTTAAGTTTTGCAAAAAATTGAAGATATATGTGTGTATAGGTCACACACATACATACACACACACACACACACACACAGAAGAAAGCTGCAAGACGAAGAGTAAGTAAACGGACACGCAATGCACAAGCACTGGCTATCAATGAATTTTCAACAAGACAAGCTCCTTCAATGAGAAGTTTGTCTTCTTCTTGTCATTTTTTTTCCTTATTTCCATATTTCAATAACAAAAATTAGAAAAATAACGTTAAAAATGAAATCAAAATGGGCTGAAGGAGAGACGGATGAAAGAGAGAAACGTATGAGACAACACGAAGAAAAAGCAACCGGTTAAGCTAAGCGTTCACTGAAAATGGCATTCAATGCGTGAAAGTTCACGTGGAAATGAATATGAATATATTGATTTTTGGATGTTTATCAAGCTGGTTGCGAAGAAAGCAGACGAAGGTTTAATTCATAATAATGTGAATGTAAAGGAATTGAGGCAAAAAAGGGGAATAAGTTCGGGTAAGCATAAAGGGAGATTATCAAGAAAGGAGATTAGAAAAGAAGGAAAAATTCAAGAAGTGGGGCGAAAAATCAATTATGAGCAAATGCAGAAGTGGAGATGAAGAGGAAAAAGAGAAAAAGGAGAAGAAGAAAAGGAAGAAGAAGAGGTGCAAATGAAGAAAAATAAAAGTAAAAGGAAGTGAAGGCGATACAACTACATCTAAGGCCAATCACTAACTACCAACAAGAGAATGAAAATGAACAGATCAGACCATAAGGAAAGAATAAATACAATTAAAAGAGAAAAAAATTTTTCTTTTCTCGAACAAAAGACGTTTTCGCTCTTTATATTCGTCTTCTAGATATAGCGTAGCTAGCTAGTAGCAGCTTTATAACTAGTGATTGAGCTTGTCAACCCAAAAAACAACCGGAAGGTTTAATGTTCTCTCGATGATTGAGGTTTTGGGGTGTTTCAGATGACAAAATCATTTGTCCGAACAGTTACAATTAAAAATTTTCTTTTTTATTTCATATAAAATACTTAATTAATCAATCAATCTTCAGGAAATTGACAATGACATGTAAAGGATTGCAGAAGATAGGAAACCTACCGTCAGAGAGAACTTTTAAGTGATTTATTTCAAAACATTTCGAACTTTCATGAAAAGGAATATCTCTTTCTCTGCTCTTGAAATTGAAAATATTAAAACATTCGAAGATGTCCGGGATCCCTCTCATACGACGCAAGAACTGATACTGTTTGAACCTATAGTATGATTGCCAGTGATCAAATGCACCAGATTCAATAATATAACTTAAAAATTATAAAAGAATGTTTCTTGGACAACTTCAAAGTTGCGCCGACCAAGAAACTGTTTGATTTACGAGCTAGTCGTGGTGCACAAAATGAAAAGATAGTTGTGAAGTCGAAAGTTTGTCTTGAAGCTTCTCCTTATGAATAAAAGAAGAAATTCCTTTGAGACGTCTTTCAGGTATCGTCAAATTGTGACTCTCATACGATTCAGAGGGAAAAGAATATTTTACCACGAAGGAAGATGGTAGAACAAAGAGAAATGAAAGTAAAGAGGGGAAAATGAAAAGAGAGAGATGAAGGAGTAGCAACCGCTCACTGCGAAAACAAGGAAGGAAATAAAAACTTTTTTTCATTTACACATCATAATCTAATTAGCATAATCAGTTATGCTCAGAATAATGCTGGTAGAAATTTGTTATCCAAATTCTATAAATTTTTATAAATTAGGGTGTTGGCTATAGTGTGTTGGAAGGAAATCCAATTTAAGACTCAGCTTCTCACCCAGGTTTCTCTTATTTTTCGTTCATTTCTTACGCAGCCATGTTTATTCTCGTAATACAAGTATCAAATATCATGAAATGAGGTTCGATATTACTTTTTTTTTCCTTTCTCCACCATAAAAGTATTTACAAAGGAAAAAAAGGAGTTTTTACTCCTCTCCTCAATTACAGATGACTCGAACAGTGTTTACGAAACGCTCACAAATGTATTAAGAAAATACGAAAAATACTTTCATCAATAGTTGCATTGTTGGCGCCCTTTTTTTAGCATCGAGGAATGCTCTTTTGCCAAGTCTTGAGTAGTCATCATCCGTATATAAGGCTACTGGAGCGCAAAAGAACAAATCGCACACAAAGCTTTTGGACATCATGTCCATCGATCACAAGGCTGGTGGAAAGACAAAAAACAATTTCAAATCTTCAGTCGTAACTCGAACTTTTCCATATTTGAATATTAACTTTATGAGAATGAGTCAATAGAGCAGAAAGATGATTCATATCAAGTTTTTACTAAGAATTAGCATGTTCAAACATGCAAAATGGAGAAGCGACTGTCAGTTTCGGGAGTGATTGACGTCAAATAGTTTTACAGACAATTTCCATATCATTTGAATGGCTAAGTCGTGGTTAAAAGTAGAAAAGAATAGCTTCAAAAGTAAGAAAAGGACGTGACGAGAAGCTTCAAAGTTCAACCGAAAATGCTCCTGCTGAGATAATTTCCAAACGAAAAATAGAAAAAAAGTATTTATAAATTAGCGAAAGTTTTTAATAAAACAGAATGATGTAACGATCAATACTATGGAATGGAAATTGTGATAAAATCTGGTTTGTTCACCTTTCAACTTCAGGCAACCCCCCCTCTCTCCCATGTGCTTACTCGCATCTTTCTCTTATGAATGAATAGATGGGTCAATTTCGTTGAATAACCTTGAAATAACAATAAATGAAAATAGTAAAAACCCAAATATTTTCAAAAATTCTCATTGCGAAAGGTAAATAAGAAAGTCTGAAGAAAGTGAAATGTCTGAAGTTGATGGAAGTCAGTGAGAAGATGAACGCATTAGAAGACGAAAGATGATATAAACGATATGTAAACTTAAAACTCATAAGTATACACGAGGGAATATCAACGATTTCTATCGAAATCTGGCATTGAAAACAAGCCGAACGGTGTTCCCCCGTCGTCACAGAAGCCAATTTTAGTTTTGAAATGACTGAAACGGATCAGTTGCAACAAACTTTTTGTTGAAAAGTTTCGGGGGGTATGGGAGAGGAGAAGAAGGAAACGAGAAAAAAAAATTTTTTTTCTGGCTAAAGTCTCTGTTGAGCAAATAGATTTGGGTTTATCTACATGAAACATCCTTTTTCATCACATAATATTGAAGAATTTTTTTATAAAATTTGATTAACTTTATTGAAAATAAGTCGAATATAGTGAAGAAGACGGAAGAGGAATGAGATGAAAGAAGATTGAAGTGAAGAAGCTTCTATGAATCCAATCAACAACAACATACATACTCATACATATGGAAGATATCAGATGATATGAACAAAAAGAAAAAAAATTATCAAAAAATCATAGAAAATAACTAGGTTTTAGTTATTTTGCACTAAAAAGAAGCATTGCCAAGCTGGACGGACGGCTGCTATGCATGTACATTATTGATTCTCATCTCTCTCTCTCTCTCTTCCTTTTTCTCCTTCCCTCTCTCTCTCTCTCCTTTTCCCTATACGAAAACGACGAATATTCCAGCACTACTTGACAAAAATTTAAGGAAAAAGCCTTTGTTTTCGTAGAAAAAAATAAAAAAAAAAGAAAAATGGATTGTCTTATCACATAGTTCTTATAGTTCTTAGAGAAGACACATATGCACAAGCTGTGTCTGTGTTATATGAAGAACAAATAGTAAACAGATATTCATCTATTTAATTTCCATAAATATACATCAGACAACTTGTCAAAATAGCTTTACGGGGACAAGTTATACGAGCGATGAAACCTTTTGTTTTCATCATGTTCCTCACGACAGATAGCTAGCTTCTTACCGTGCCGAGGAAAAAAAATAAAATTTTTGTTCAAAGCGAGTAGTGAATAACGAGGGAGAAAGTGAGAAACAAGTCATTCAATTCAAAAACAGAAAAAAATTGAAAACTCCAGCTAATTGTCCATAAGCTTCTCTTCTTTTATGAGATATTTCAATTAGAGAGAAAGGAAGAATACTCTTGTTTTGTAAAGTCTCCGAGTTTGAATGCAGAAATCCGTCGATGATTTCAGATATTGTCATCGATTAACGGCATGTTGACACCTAATGTAATTTTGGTTTTAAGGATGAAACAAAACACATTTTGTCGTTTCTTAATTTAATCAAATGTCACATACATCCTTCTGCAACCCATTTAGACAAAGCTCGCAAGACTTTAATTGGCAGAGATTCGTCTTTTATTCGAATTATTCATTTCCGCAATGAAAATGAGGAAAAACACCAACTTCTAAGATTTTTTGATTTTTTTTGTGATACCATAGCGATAAAGAAGTTGACAGAAATCATTAAGCACTTACGAGCACTCCGTATCCTAAACAGGTCTTATTGGAATTTGTTTTACCATTGTTTCTGCCTAAAACTCAAGTGAAAACTTCTAGAGAAGATCCACTGATATTTATTTATAAACGTATTTCAACCGACAACTTATCAATAAAACACTCGCTTATAAGAAAAAGTACAATTTCTGAGTTGAGAAAAAGACTCCGTCGAGCCGGATTCGAACCAGCGACCTAAGGATACCCACAACTCTACAGTCCTCCGCTCTACCAACTGAGCTATCGACGGGA